TGCAGCAAGGAGTCACCCACAACAATCACTCACTGCTGCTTCCAGGTGTTCCTGCACGGCACAGGGTCTGGCAGGCCAGTTGCCTCCCTTGAAGCCATGCCCAGCTCCTCCTCAGCCTGGAGAGCACTAAAGTTGTTCCTCAAAGGCAAGTCTTGAGGAGGAGCAAGAGCCTTTCTCCTCCTATGAGAAGTGACCAGTTTCCAGCCTTCTTCTACAGTGTTACGATGTACTGTTTCACACAGCACAGAGCCCTCTGACAACTCCGCTGCAGTGGTGGGTGGGGACTCCCCGAGCTGCACGGTCTCCGGGAATACCCTGTCAATCTCCTGCTCATCTTCTCAGATGCTACGCAGCCTACTGACTTCCTCCCGCAGCTCCTTTACCTGGTGATACAACTGGTCAACCACAGCACACCTCACACAGGAGAGCTGACTGTCAGCCCAGGCCCCACGGAGAGGCCCCAGGCACTCCCTGCAGCCTGACACCTGCAGAGCTGCATCTGCTGTCTGAGGGTCTGTCTGGGTCTAAGCTTCAGACACAGCTGATGCAGCAACTCCAACAGCCACTGGGGAATGTGCTCTGCAGTGTGTCATGACCATGCCTGGGGAAGTGTACACTACTTTTTCGGATGAAAAAATTAAATTGAAAAAGCACAGCACAATTTTCAATTTAGAATTTCACTATAGAACATTCGCATATACTAGATCATTATCGAGCCTTTCCTACAACCTTCTCAGTTGTTGCTGCTTTCCGTATATGTTTGTTTTTAACCGTTAAAGCACGCTCTTCATGTTCAATGAATTGTCACACTTGTGCTGTCAAGTGGGAGACCCATTTCAAGTCCATAATCTTGTAGTTAGCAGGAGCTGGAAGTTCTATTTTGTCAGTATTTCAGTTCAGTATTGAACACTGATATTTGACTTGAATCATTAACAGCTCTGAGATGATATGCTATGTATTTGGCTCAATCATAGAGATCATTTTCAGAGACAGAGTTGTCCCAAAACCTTAATTATTCATGAAATAGTCACAGATTTTTCTTTCTTCATATTTGATTATCTTTATTAATTGCTAAGCACAGTAAATGTGATGAAAACAGGCTTCTATTCAAAATTTACTGGACTGCTTATGGTACTGGGCAATTTTAATAGTCATCTACAGCACAGCAACGGTCATAGAGAGATACTTTGGACTCAGCAGGTGGAAAAAAATGTCTTCCTGAGAATCACTGCACAAGTGAGCAGAAAAAAACTGATTCCTGCTTTTTTTAGAATATGCTGTCAGAAGGAGAAATGAAGCTTGCCTTTGCAGATTTACTCTAGTGAATTAAACAAATCTTAGTAGTTGTTCAAAGGAAATTCTTTGCCTTTCCACTCAGTTTTGCAACCAGTTTTCCAATCTCTCTCCCAAATCTTCCAACCATCAGTGCCCTTGTCTCTACTGCTCTCTCTACTCCCAGTTCCTCAAGTCCATA